AGCAAATCGTGCGCGCGCGCGCGCGCGCGCGCGTGTGTGTGTGTGTGTGAGAAAGTGATGCGACTCATCTCGCGCAGTTGCATTATCTAGCGAATCTAGCCTATGTGAATGCACGAGCGAATCTCTGTTATAAATGATAGAGCGAATCCGCGGTAGTTATTCTTATATCGTAACTATTGCAGTATTTTAATACGTGCTAAAGACAGATAGGACTTATCATTAACAATTATGAATTATCGTCATTATTATCAGTATATGTGCCAAGCCGCTGGTTAACATCGATGACATTTCAGTTCCCAAAACATTTGCTTTACACATGATTCTGTTCTTCGCAGATATAAGTCGTATGCGATACATCCGCGACTCTTTCCCACGAACGAATTGTAACGGAGGGATTTTATATTTGACATTTCGTTTCAGGATTATTCACTGCCATTATTGTTGTTCTTTCTTCTCGTATTGTTGTTTACAATCTACCTTATTTATTGCATTATGTAAGATCGAAATGATGAAAGCTCGTGCGAACCTACATGAAACAGTACGCGAAAGCGAGAGGGTCCGTTACACGAGAATCGTAACGAACTTCCATCCCGCTCGTTGTAAGAGTTCGCGTCGGTTTTCACGGATTTTGCATCTCATGCACTGTATCTAATACATTTTATTTGTATGTCACACTTATGATCAACGAAAGAGGAAGTTCTTGAGTATTGAATGGAAAAAAAAAATGAGGATTTTTTAAATCCTAGTACGGTCATACTGCACGTTGGATTGCCGATTCATTCTGTAATAGCACAGAAAGCTAGTACATATTTAGCATATCTTAGAAAAAAGTCGTTGCGACGATGCGTCGAACATTCTTTCGGATTCAGATTCGAAAATGGAAAGGATAAGAGTTGTGCGACAAACGTGTTATATGTAATATATTGTATTGAAATGTAACTATTAATATGACTCTAAATTATGGATTTCTGAACTCTCGATAAATGGTTAGTCATAATGTACATTCTTTAGCATATAAAGACTGACGTGCAATATGATCGGATTGCAAGACAAAGAGCTGTTGAGGCACAATGGACAAAAAAGAGTCTAATGAATTAGCCTCATTAAGGAAACTTAAAGTAATAATCTAATAATACTACACAAGTTCGTCTCAATCAATCACGGTGACAATAGATCTTAAAAAAGTATTCCGTAAGATACATATGTCGAGTTATATGAGGGAAAAAGGGGAAAAAGTAAAAAAATAACATAAGGGACTGTATTAAAAGTCTACTACTGTTTACTACCTATTGCAATACCGAGCGTGTGACAAGCTCGCGAGGTGATATTTTACGATTGTAGTTATATAGATATGCATATAGATGATGGACTATTTACAGCGTGACTAGCCGGGTAAAAAAAGTTGTAAAAAAATTGAGATTTTATATCGATTCGAGAAAACTAAAAAGGATTAATCCTTTTTGGAGAAAACGATCTTTCTGCACACTTGTAGGTTGCTTGTATCCTAGAAGAAATGATGCAATGGAGCAAGTCAGCAAGTTGATAATGTCGTTGTATACGATCAATGAAGTGCCGCAATTTTCTGTCTCCATCGACTGATATATCCGTAATAAATAAATGAAGTCGCACACAATCTCGCGGATATTCCAATAACACGCGAAGAATCAAATCAGCGATAGCTAAGGAATAGCGCGACGGCCTACGCGCGTTTCGTGGCGTTTTGTATCTTTTTTTTTTTCTAATATAACGTCACGTGGCGTCGCAAAGTTTGAGAAAGGATATACAACTATAAAGATGATATATAAAGAAATATATATATATATATATAAATGAAGTTATAGTAACGCGGTTTTCCACGTTTTAGCGAATCTTTACGTCCCCGATGCTCATGGGAAGTATTTTTGTACGTTTACTCTGTACCTATACTACCGTTTCGCTCTAAAACTATATATCTACTGTTATCATTGTGATACTCGCTACTGCGATCGTCTTTTGAATCGTTAATGTAATATTACATAATGTGTAATAAGCGGGCGTGTGTTTGGTTATTGATACGCTCATGGATTGGCAATAGGAGTTTCCTTGAATTTTAATGATTTTTAAACACAGAGACTGTAAACGACTATCAATTGTTATTGTTTGGTTGACTGTCCTCTATCACGAGTACTAATTGCTCGATACAAACTTTCTCTATGACGATTGCCAATGTCGTGTTTTATTAATTTTAATCTTGCTGTGGTAAAAGAAAATTGTTTCCTTATAAGTCGCGTGCGACTCCTACGGTCTGTCTTATTCTTTTCTTCCATGTCCATTAATTCAATGTATCCACAGTTACATGTGATTGACATTCCTTAGCATTTATACCACGAAACCCGTGGCTGCATTTTTTTAATCGATATATGACTCGCCGTTGAATAATCGCATAAACAAATAATACCTATTTATTATAAATGTACATACAACTGTTATTGTAATAAAGAAGAATGTGAGGGAAATATACAATTATGACGCTTTGTTCATTGTTCCAATTCCGCTGTGATACAATTATTTTATGGCAAAACACTTTTCCGTATTGATAAATTTTTTTCCTAAATGTTTATTTTAATAGGGTTTAGTTCTGTGATGCCGATCACGGTCAGTTCCAATTTTAGTTAACAACTTATGACTTGAATTTTGCTGTATCGACGATTCTGTTTGTCGCCAAATATTGACAGTGCCTTTCTCACCAACTGTCACCAAGCTTCCACTCTGTAGAATCGAAAATACGAGATGATTATTGATCCAAGTTTAAGTAATTTCTTAATTTATAATTTACCTTCTCATGCATCCAGCTGTCCCGTACTATTTGTTTATTCCCTACAATTTCGTAATATGTTTTCAAACGATTCTTCTTAATATTCAAGCATCTTAGATTTTCCCTGAAAAAATATAAATGTTATGTCATTATCAATCTAAGAAAAAAATTGTTTTGAATAATGCATTACACTTATATTACAAATTAATACCCTTTAACTGTGCTGGAACCCGCTAACACAAATGGTTGTCCAAAAGCATTAGTGGCATGGAATCTTACCAAGTAACAATTATCAGCATCATCATTCTGTAAATAAAATTCTTTATTCACACCATTTTTACATGTATTAAGTTTTCGAGAATTTATAATTCTTCAGTTTGTAATACTTTAATATTGAAAAATTTGTATAACATTGAGAATGACCCGATTGGTGTCGAAACGTCTGTTAATTCCTATATTTGTAAATTATTTGTAATATAGTCTTCGTGCTGTGTATCTTGGCTTTGTATCTTTGCTCGTTGCTCTTATTTATTTAAAATTCTTTAGTTATTTTGTAAGAAAAGTGATAAACAGTGATATGATTATAGAAAAACCATGCATACCTGTGACACGGCTAAATCACTACGTGCAAATGTTGCATATGCATTAGCACCTTCAGATTCCCATAACTGTAACGTTTGTGTATGTGTCGTACACCATAGAGAATCATCAGTTAACCAACCCAGTCTGTCCTAAAAAAAAAAACTATTTAATTAAAAAGATGTTCTTTATACATTATACAGAACTAAATTGATTGTCTTACCACTGATGATTCGGTATTTAAAGAACAAGTTAAGGCCAAATCTTCTGAGGATTGTGTCAGGTCAAATATATTCATTAAACCATCTGTACTACCAGATGCTAAAACATTCCGCTTGGCAGGATGAAAGGTCAGACAAGTTATATCATCCATATGCGATTCCCAATATCCACCAAGGAGACTGTTTTTATTTTCTGGTTTTGAATTACTTTGCCTTATGTCCCAAAACAGAATAAATGCATCTCCACCTGTATGCTCTGTCCCACCAGCTATGAGCCTTTCATCACAGCTAAGGTCAAAGCTAGCCAAAGGTTTTATTTTGCCATTTTCTGTATTATCTGTAATGTTAAGATAAGACCAGTTAAGACGTAATTGTTTAAAATGTTTATCGATAAAAACTTATGTTTACAATTTTTAGAGCTGACAGTTACCTTTAAATTCTGCTACAACCTTTCCCTTAGCACGCAAATCACATGCTGTAATTAATCCATCGTTAGTTGCGATATATAATACATTTTTAGAAGTAGGACTGAACTTAATTCCTACAATGGGTGATCGATTATGATCTAGCATAATTGTTCGGTTCAAGGATTCGCCAACAGAATATATTATGCAAGAGTGATCTGACAATGCTGCTCCAATCCTAAATTCTGGCTCACTATATATACAAACAAACAATAGTTTATATGACAAGATAAAATTAATACAATTTTGGGCAATATACATATAAAGAGATCATTTCACGTCATATCTAAGTATAAAGCAATAAATAAATGCTCTAAACTGGCAATAACAAAGTTTTGGTCTTAACATTAAACAAAAATATTAGTTATAAATGTAACTGAAAATATATATTATTGAACATATAAATAGTTTAGATTGAAAAAACCATAAAAAATATCATCCATGCATAAAAATGTTAAACAAAAATTATATTTTACTGTAATCAAATAATTAGAACATATACAATAGTGCTTCATGTTACAAAGAATGCAAATTAGTTTTGTGTAATTGACAAGATTTATTTAAAAAAATGGATTACTTTTGATCACACAATAAATACTAATTTTCTTAGAGAGAGAGAGAGAGAGAGAGAGAGAGTTTTTTTGAGAGAGAGAGAGAGAGAGAGAGAGAGAGAGAGAGAGAGAGAGAGATTACACATATATATAATAATAGAAACATATTTGGGACGGATGTGTTATACTTTTGCACAGATTTGACATTAAATGTTCTACAAGTAATATTTATTTTGTGACTAACTAGCGTACACACTGAATTAGTATATACTGTACTTAAAATAAAACAGATATAAATATATATGAAGTTTGGGCGAAAACAAGATAGACGCAACGATAAAAAAAAATTTGTAAGGAAATATAAAATTTGCCTTTGGGTTCCACAGACGGATAATATGTAGTCATTCTGATCGAGTGACACTCTTTCTTCCAATAACAGCGTCAACTCCACCTTCTTGTTGGCCCTGTCATTGTTTTGTCGGTACGACTCGGCGTCGTTTTCGACATTTAATTTCTTCAAAGACTCAACTATTCTCGACATATTCTCCGCATTCCAGATTACAACTGATTCAAAAGAACAAAGAAACCAGACACTAGAACGAAATTTAAGGTTAAATGAGGTTCAAATCAAACACAAGCTGACAGTGCTGACACACAGACCTCGAGCTCAAGCCATCTTTTCCTTTACAATAATCGCGTTCGGCAGGCTCAACTAAAGTCACTAGATTTCTAAAGTACCGCAAACTCGCATCCATTTTGACGCGAAACGCGGCCATTTCAAATTTATGCATTTGCATATACGTATGTATGTACTTTATTTAATAAAATAAAGCTGTCAAGTACGTACATAAATGTTTTTTAACTGTAATTAGTTTATTTATAATCAAAAAATATGTATGAATGCTTAATTTATATGTATTATTTAAGTTAATACGGATTTATTTGTTGTAAAAGTTTAGGGTACGAAAGTGCACGAAGGGACTTGTAAGTACAATTTAAAAGATAAACCCCCAATCATCATATGCTCATAAGAAGATTGAAGAGATAAGAGACAAGAGATAAGAGATAAGAGATAAGAGATTGAGATCTTCTTATTTCATAAGAAAATTGAAGAGCGGGGAAGGGACTAAAAATGGCGGATGCGAATACCTACATTATAATGCTCTACTTAGAGTTCTAGATATCTAGAACTCTAGCTCTACTATGTGCACTTCGGCCATTTTGACGCGACATTTCTGAAATCAATTGCGTTACTTAAGAAAACTAGTGACTTTAGATTCAACTATTGCGGAGTGGATTCGTGAGCGCTCGCTGCTATTGGCGTATTCTTTTAGATCACCCAATTAGCATTTTAGATCTGGGGCTCTATTCTTGAAAAGAAACGTATACGAAAGTCTAGGAAAATACTGTAGTATCTGTAACGCATACTGTAGCATTTCCCTAGACTTTCGAATACGTTTCTTTTCAAGAATAGAGCCCCTGGAAAAATACATCAATAGCAACGAGCGCTCACTCAACTGTTGAATACGCTGAACACAGCCATTGGGTGCATTCAGGGTATCGATCATGAAACTTTTTTCCTAGGATGGAAAGTGAAAAGTGCAAAATTTCTCCATTAATTTCAATGGTAAAAATTTTCACTTTTTACTTACCATCCTAGGAATAAAGTTTCATGATTGATATCCTGGCAACACTGCATGAATCGGCCAGCGACAACTGGCCATCATAACCTTCTGTGCTCACCATGCCGCATTCGTCTCTCCGCTGACCGCTCTCGCGCAACATGGCGACCGGCAAAAGACTTGCCGTGATTTTTCATCCAAAGACCATCAATCTGATTGGAAATAATAAGCTGAACAAGTTCTCGCGCGGTGTTTTGTGGCAATGCAGTACGTGTCAGCGACACGTGGTGACTGTCGCATCGGCTGTCGGTGGCTGGAATCGTGAAAAAAGTAATTTGCGCTCAGGTTCGAGTCCCTCTGGATTACATCATTATCTTATTTTTCGATAAAACTCTATTTCCGGCGCTTTCGTTGCTGTGTCAATGACTTCCTCGCCCGTTACATTGATATTTCCATTCTAGATTGTTCACTTTTCCATTCGTTACGCGTTTCTTGTCGTACGACACGTGCGTGTGTTGAAACATTTTCTACTGCTTTGATGTACTTGTGTGGCATGCGCGCGCGCGCGCGCTTACATATATTCAATACACTATCTAGTAAGCAAGAACCCTATTAGAACATTCCAACAACATCACAGCATTGTTGCATGTTGCTAAATTATTCAGAGACGTTTCTTGCTCCCTGGAGAATTTGTTTTCTCGAAAGTCCAAGTTATTTTTCCTTCGAATGCCATTATCTAGACAAATATCTATGCAAATGTCAACTATTGCATAATGTGTGATGAACCTAATTTACTCTATATCTTTTAATATTTAGACAATTCAAATCTATATTTTTCTTTATATGCAAGCAACGAAAAACCTTCAGATTTATTGATATCTAAATTAATTGATTAAATCCATTTCAGACATAGGAAGAATAGTGCAGCCACATAGAGCCATACACCTAACAAGTAGATTGTTAAAACGTAACTATTACGAAATCCTGGGTGTTTCCAAGAATGCCTCAGCAAAAGACATAAAAAAGGCATATTATCAGCTTGCTAAAAAATATCATCCTGACACGAATAAAAGAGATCCAGATGCCAATCAGAAATTCCAAGAAGTTTCTGAAGCATATGAAGTATTAAGCGATGATACCAAGAGGAAAGAATATGATACATGGGGTGCAACCTCGGAACAAATGGGTATGGGAATGGGTCAGGGTCAGAGATCCAAGAGTTACAATCAGCACTGGCAGTACAGATCGACCATTAATGCCGAGGAATTGTTTAGAAAAATATTCGGCGATGCCGGATTCCAAAGTGGGACCTTCAATGATTTTGAAGACTTTTCAGAAACAAAATATGGTTTTGGAGCAGCTCAAGAGGTGACCAAATGTGACTTTATATTTCCTGATTATTGCAATATATAAATAACACATTGCTCTTATTACAGGTGATAATGAATTTAACCTTTTCCCAAGCCGCTAGAGGTGTGAATAAGGATATTAATGTGAACGTAATAGACACTTGTCCGAAATGCGGTGGTTCACGTTGTGAGCTAGGAACTAAGCCGGTAAAATGCCAGTATTGCAATGGTACTGGAATGGAAACAATAAGCACCGGTCCTTTTGTAATGAGTTCGACTTGTCGATATTGTCAAGGCACGAGGATACACATCAAGTTTCCTTGTACAGAATGTAATGCAAAAGGACAAACGGTACACAACTATTTCTTGATTTTGTCCATATATCGCTTGATTATCTATCTCGTCTATCATTACTACATTAATTAGTATGCTTTGATCGCATTTTTATAGGTACAACGTAAGAAAATAACAGTGCCAGTTCCAGCTGGAGTAGAAGACGGTCAAACGATCCGTATGGCAATAGGCAAGAAAGAGATATTTGTAACATTCCGCGTGGAGAAGTCTCGGTATTTCCGCCGTGATGGGCCCGACGTACACACTGACGCCGAAGTCTCACTGGCACAGGCAGTGCTGGGTGGTACAATACGAGTGGAGGGCGTGTACGAAGATCAAACTATACAAATAATGCCAGGTACATCGTCCCACACGCGAATCCGTTTAAACAGCAAGGGATTGAAAAAGGTCGATGGACTGGGTTATGGTGATCATTACGTAAACATAAAGATTACTGTGCCGAAACAATTGACGGATAAGCAGCGAGCGTTGCTTCAAGCGTTCGCCGAATTTGAGACCAATACTCCCGGCAGTATACATGGTGTAACATATAAAACAGATGGTAAGAATAAATGATAAAAAATACGAATTATTTTTAATATATTTCGAGTATATTCTATCGTTATGAATATTTGTACTTGTGACGTCGAATATTTAATGCTACTGCAAAATATCATTGCACTAGCGTACCTTTATTCGATTATGTATCGCTTGAGTTTTCCCCTGTGTACCTGCTATTACTAATTAAATTAAATCATATTAAAATATTACAAATGCGTTTCATTGACGAAATGAAATGAAAAAATTCTCGTATAAAATTTTTGCGATAACAGAAATTTGCGTGAAATGTAATATGTAACTAATTCAGTGTAAGATACATATTTTTAAGTAAAGTCTCTTTCCTTAGTAGCTTCAATGTTTTTTCTAGGCATGGCAAATCCAAAGGTGCAAACTCAAGCGAGACAAGAGGTCCAAAATGATCAGAATGACGGTCTACTTACAAAAATTAAAAAAGCTATATTTGGATAAATTGTAAGTAGAACTAGGTGGGGAACATAATTTTATATCTGTAATATATTTATTGCAAGTACACTCTATAATTATAACTAGGATAAATCTCAATATTTTTTTTCACACATAATGGGATTGTAAATTCATTACAATTTTCTAATTGTGCGTTGTCTCTGACCCAACTTCAAAACATTTTCGAAGATAGTTTTTAATTGATTATTTTGTGATAAAAATATCACGCGATGAGAATTATTTACCGTAATTTTTACGTTACTACTATAAAATCTCCGTAAAACCAATTAAACTTGTATAACCTGATAAATTTTACGAGTTTTAATTTCATATATAATATATATCTTAACAAAAGATATTTTTTTTAAATGTGCCGATACATACATTTTATTCGCAGGTACGAAAGAGTGTTATTCAGGTCCATTGCACTTGGTGGAATCTATACGAATAGCACTAGGAAATACGTCTAACTTAGGAAATCACGACAACCAGTCTTCATCTTCTGAGCCCGAGAATCCAGGAGATAAACCTCTTAATAATAAGTCCGTACATACCAAAGATACGTCGGACGTCGATAGCAAAAATGATACTAATACTGGAATGCAACGACAAAAAGTGCCCCAGTAATCAAGGGCGTTTAAAGCAATCTGTAGAGAGCTAGAGAATGCTGCTCGCGTTGTTACTGATAAATAAATTCTAATTCGCACTAGCATCATCATGAAAGTTTTTGGCCCTAAAATTATTACACTTATTAGTAAACTTTCGATCAAGTTGAACAAGCACGTGAATTGTTACGAGTAAGTGATGCCAGTCTGATGTCGCTTAGGTAACATATAGCTGTACAGTCGTATCGTAGCGTACAAGAGTTTGTCTTTATTACATCTTATTTAAACAAAGTGTACATGAAGATAGATATCACAGTTATTTGTCCATCTTAATCGAGATGTATATAAAATAAATTTTCTGCAACACACACGTATCCTTTTGCATATACGTGAAAAATAAATTCACATTCTCTTGTGCAGGTTCTTTGATCTGTTTTTCTTTTACACACCTACACGCGCGCGCATACACACACATTACAAGTAAATGGATGTAAATTGTACAAAAAATGTAGTTATAAAAATAGCCCATCTAGTTTAACTTTGTAACTTGCGCGTTTTATTTTGCAAAATAAAAAGTATACATCTAAAACATACATATCTACATGATGTTTTTTTTTGTAATTGTGTTAAAAATAATTACAAATAAAATTTATAAGTCAAGGATAAGTTGTAACTATTCATTAACTTCGTTAACAAATAATGATTATGATTATGATATCAGAACATATGATAAAACGCAATAATGACGAATTACGTGTATATATAGATGGTTCTTAAGTATTCTAAAAGATTTTAAGGAGTGATACTTTTCATTATGTGCACACAGTATTACATTCTTGATATTCACCAATGTTAAACTGAAAAAATGAAAAATGATACGATTATTGTGTTACACTGTATTCAAGACAAAAAATTTATATAATCTTATGTCTGAAGTGATTTTAAAAATACAGGGTATCAAATTTGAAGGAAACATTTCATTTTTTTACAAATTTCGAAAACCACTCGGAATATTTTTATATCCTTAAAACGCACATAAAATTTTATCAAAATGATTTGGAGGATTTTCAAAATTTTTTCTTTTAATACCTTGCATCTTTGAAATTACATCGTCTTATATGGTCATATAGTTTTTATCGTGAATTAAAATGTGAAGGGGATGAAGAGTATTAAGTAAATTAAGCATATTAATCTTAATCTTTGGTCAGTAGGCCGTACTTGAGTCCAATATTTGTAAGACTCTGCGTTGCCGATACTCTTAATATAGCTACCATTATCGCCGCGATAGTAACAGCGCCTTCCAAATACAGACCGTACAGTATTCGTACGTGACCGACGATAGTAGAGAGACCGCCCGCCGCAGTGAAGTCTAACGGAAATAGCAGACTCGCCGCGATCGGTCTCGATCGCGCTATGCCGAAGCATAGCACTCCCAAAACATAGTATGTGACTACAATAGAAATAAAGTATAAACGAGGACAGCAATAATTGTAGTTGAAACAAATTTTTATAGAGATTCGTGATAAAAATTTTACCTGTACCAACAAATGACAATATTTTGATCCATTTCGGCATACGTTTGGAATAAATCGATTCTGGACTGTTGAATTGCACGCCTTGTCTGGTAAGCGCGTACTTTTGTAAGCGAAAAGCCACCATAAGACCGAAATTCAATATAAGAAGGAAATGGGCAGGAATACCGATAGCGGCAAATATCACCCCTACTGTGCGACCAGCGGTTGTTCGCGGAACCGGTGCTCCAAAACCTGTAAAATTGGAAAAATATTTAAGAGAAAATAAAACAGTATAATTTTCAGAATGAAAACATTTACATATAATTATCTAAGAATTAATACTGAATTAATTAAGAATTAGTCCCAATTAATTAACATACCTAAAGTGGTAATTAACGATATGGCGAATAATACACAACCAGGAAATGTCCACAGCTGTCCACTATTACCACCCTCGCCATAGCCAGAACTAACAGCGGTCAAGAGGAGTTGTTCATGTTTGGTAACATATCGACGGACATTATCGCTCCACAATGGCTCCACATCCTGATCCTGTTCCGTTCGCAATTGCCGCAACTCTGTCGCCAAGCCGACTGCTAAATCCTTCTGCATGTTCTTCAGCGACACGACCTGTTCGCGCTCGCGAGGTCCTTCCGTGGCGCAAAACGCCGCCGCACCTGCCACCATCCATATCACAAGTAACCAAAGAAGACCTGCGATAAATTATAAATTAATTAAATTACTCTTTAAATGATAAATGCTTAAGTGGATAAACGGTACGTAAAAATTTAAACTTATAGCTCGTACCCAATTGCGATAATAACAATCGTCCCAAAAATCTCAGATATTTTCTAAATCTCGAGACCTTCGAAGAATTTCCATTGTCCTCCTCGATATCTCTGAGAGATGGCAAAATCCTTAATCGTAGAGGTAAACCTTCTATGGTCTGGACAGTTACAGACTTTGTCCATTTCGTCGGTATTATACCGTTTTTTAAGTGAGGTGAAATCTCGGAAGATATCGTAGTAGGTGTGTCTGTAATATCTATTTTTGAACACATTTATATATGAGCAAAAACTCGTAATGATATATATATATATATATATTTATATATATAAAAGGCATTTTTTTTATTAAGCTTTATATATAGTATCCAAAAAAAATATCGAAATTTTTTTTAAAGTTCAAGGTACCACACAGTATATCAAGTTAAAGAATAATTGTTTTTTAATTACGAAAGAAAAATCGGGTTGAATTTTCTAGTTCACGATGATAGCTCTGTATTAGCAAAACATGCTGTAATCGATTTCGTGTGAAACTCGTTAGTAATAATTTAAATAAGTATGCTGAAAAAGTACATACTATCTCCTCCTGCGTTATCTTACTACTATATGTTACGTGATATAACGAATATACTTTTTTTTTCAATATCTTTATACAAATTGTTTACATGAACATTATAATAGATATTCATCAAATGAAAATATTTTTTGCAAGCTATTTATAAATTATAATATGTTTACATTTTTCTTGCATTATTCTACTACTTCAATTTTTAATATTTCATTTCTATTGCATCAAGTACACAAAGATTTTTCTCTAATTTTTTCCAATTAAAATGCATGGTTTTAAAAAATTGAAATAACATTTACCGATGCTGCAAACGACGTCGTCGTCGTCGTCCCCCTCATCTTCTTTCGCGCGATGCTCTATCATCCTCGTGCAAAGCTCAGTAATGCGACGATGTGCAGCATCCTTGACGAGGGCCGCGGTCTTGATCCGTGGATGGACTAAGTTCCTGCAGACGCGACGTCGCTTCCTGGTGCCCGCGGGGGATCGTAAAGGTACGGCATATCGTTCGTGTACGCGCGGCACGGATGCAGCAACGAATGCCGAAACGCGTGGTAGCGTCGCGACGCTTGGAACGTCACTGAGGGGTGTCAGAGTCGGTGTCGCGACGCCTCCGATGGTCGGTGGTTGCGGGAAAAGGGGTACATCCATCGGCTAAGGTCAAGATGAGCCACACTATAGCCGTTGTAAACTTTACGATCGCGTTTAACGATCTCTCGGTCGATTACACAATCGTACATATTTCACATAACATCGAGGAGAAGGCTATACATGCCTTCGCTTTAATGTGCATATATTGACTTCCCGAGAGATTTCCTTTGACTATAGATAACGACGTCCCCGAGCACTTGTTGAATTGATTCATCCCACAAAACAGCAAGTTTTCTTTCAGTATTTCGAAATCTTTATACGCTCTGCTGAATTCTTTATTTAAGCGTAGGCCTTGAACTCAATAATTTTATGCGAAACGAATTTATGTTATGTTATGGTCTTGTATTTCCGTCTTATGTATGACAACGATGTTTATATCACATGTTTATTTTCAATCAGTTAAAGTGTGCCAGATATCAATCATCATATAGGTACTTATAGATATTAGTATTTCATTTGCGGATAAATCCGACCATCCGATCTTGATAAAATTTTCCCTGAATCACAACTTTAATTTACGTATTCCTTGTGGAGTTTTTTGCTTATTCATAAGCATATACATAAGAGTTGGATCGATAAGGTTTCCATTTTACAGAAACATGCTTTACGTTCCATTAATAATACTGCTATACGCTGTTGAATACATAATATACTAAATTATGATGGCAATGTTTAACTTGATAATCTACACGTACGCCATCGTACATTCACAGCTATAACTCACGAATCATCTGCATTATTAATATACTTCTTAATTATGTATTCGTAAATGTATTCGTATACTTGTCTAACTAACGGCAACATTATATACAGTAATCGGATAGCTAAAGTACAGAAAAAAAAAGAGAAATAAGCAGAGTTACAAACATAGCGACGATTCGATATCTCGGAGACTTCCGAAACTACTGGCCTCATGCATTCTGTGAAGCGAAATCTTCGTGCACTTCGCCGCGTTGCAGCGTGGCACGACCGGAAGAAATATGATATATGTATATACATATATCTCTTCTGCGAACCACTAAAATTAGCTAACGCGGCCTTGGAACCAATGACGGCCGACAATCTTAAGCGATTCCCGTATCGCCACTTTCTGTCTATAACTAATTGCACACGTGTCCTATCTTTGATTAGATATGCTGTCACGATGGATCCTGCGTGATCGCGTGCGTGGTAAAACTACCCCCGTTCGATAGTACCGCAACCACGGTAGGGTTATTATAGTACGTCACGCGATATGCCAATTTATAGCCGACTCCAATAATATGCGACGATCAGCTGTAGCTCGGATTAATTAAAAATTATAATAAATATGTATATGGGTAACACACTCTTTAAATTTATTTGACTCTTCCGATAGAATTTTTCTGCTCACCGCACAAGCATCATCTGCTTACAACATATATATCTTCCAAATACCGCTAGTAAACGCTCTCTTATTCAATTATCGATCATTTGACCTTGTTATCTGTACATTGTCCCTACTGTGCAATGCTTGATCGAATATTCTACTGTACAATTAAGTGATGCGACGATTACTTATATGTAGATTCGAATTTTCTCGATATACATGTAAAAATTGTTTCTTATATTAAAAGAAGGGAAATAGAAAAAATAAAATATGTTCTATTACAGTAGAAATAAAGAATCATTATAAAATCATTAAGTTACGAGAAGCGAAATCTAGGTTGAAATCTTACGTACAATTATACAGTGGCGCCATTCTTCCTGCTCCGCTTGCAATTACGGTTCTGCATCTCAGCCCGCATGGGTTGTATCCTCACAATTCGCCAACGCGTTTGCGCGGCATCGATCCGCGATACCTCGCAGTCTGCTGCATCTCCTCGACAAATGGCATGTCGTGCCAGTTTGACAGCGGATGTTCCTCGGAGAACCCGCCGTTTGCGTTTGTAATATGGAACATCGTTCCACTGTTCTCGATCGACGAGGAGATCGGGGAACAACCGAGGTGCGTTTAGACGGGCTGGTCATTGCTAACTTGTCAATTTTAACTTCACTTGCGTGCTAAATGCTTATTAACTCTTCAAAATTGCTCCATGTTGCTAAAAATATGACAACAACCGAATGCCAATATAGTAGAATGATCCTTTTTAGCCTTGCGCTGCAAGCGTCTTCCTTCTGGAAAGATAAATTTCAGATTTACCAAATGATATCAAAAACCTGAATTAGGTTGCAGAGGACTGAACTTGATTGCCTCGTGCGTTTTAATCTTTGCTATTTATAGATTAATGAAGTAGACAGACAGATTACTTTTACATCAAGTTAATTAGATTCTAAACATATTCTCTCTCTCTCTCTCTCTCTCTCTCTCTCTCTCTCTCACACAGAGAAAGCGATGCGCAGCCTCGCTCGCAAGCTACTAGTATGGCCCGCGACGTTGGTGCTGTCCCTCCTGGCCTTCCGTCTGCTATTCGGCCGAGATTTTCGATTACCAACGACGACGCTCGTTTTTCGCGATGACGGTGATATCTCTACGTTGGATAACAGCCACGTTAATATAAATTCGCAGCAGGACGCTGGCCCACCAGGTCCACCCGTCTACGCAGCGGGCATGTACATGGCGGGTCAGCGACCTCGCAATGAAAGTGCCTGCAGATGGTACCATGGCTTGCCGGATGTCCTCTCCTATCCACCATCCAGACTCACGTGGAGCTCCGAAATCGGCGAGAAGAGTCCCTACAGGTAGAGATCAATCGTTTACTATCGTCTACATAAGATCATCGTTGTTTTTCTTCTTACGCATATATTTATAATTCAGCTTACAACTAAAGAACTGACATTGAAACAAAGTCATCAACACCGGAAAGTGGTACTCAACCGGAGGAAACGGAGCACGGAGAAAAAAGTTTGCTGGCACAGCATACTTTATGCTGTCGTAGCAGATTTTCTTAATCGTCGTATTAACAGAGAGATTATTGTTTTAGGAGCGCCTGATTGCATCAACGTTACTTTGATTTTAAGCGAGGCTTGAAACTCATCTCACTCTATCTCTTCATCTCTTTTGGCTTTACAGAAAGAAAGTGAGAGTTTTAAACTTCGCTTAAAGTTAAAGTAACATTGGTGCAACTGGGGGAGGGGGAACCTTACTAATCTATAATTTAAAAATAATTTTCTTGGAAATTTGCTGCAATGCGGGCTTAACGTTTTACCTGAAATGAAATTTATTCTAGCTGTACATTCTCTCATATCTCTACAAACTAATTTATGCAGCAATATCCTTCTATTTTAATAATAAAACGAATTAAATATTGGACAATAGTATAATAGGAGCCTTCGCTATTCGGTCGCTTTCGCGTTGAATGTATCATGCGATGATTTTGCTGCGACAGCGAGAATTCTTTTTCTCCGTGCAGGGTTCTGCCATTCGTGTTGCTTGGCGCCGTTGAAGCGACAGACAGTTTGCCCCAAGTCACGCTGTCCACACACGCCACCGCCGATCAGGTTTACGGAATCGTGGAACTCGCCAGACGGTGGGAGGGACCGCTCAGCCTGGCGGTATTTGCACCAGGCCTCGACGCCGGCCTTGCTGTCGCTCAGCTTGATCGAGCCTGTCGTTGCGAACCTGCCATGTACAAGGTCTCCTCAACTTCCTTGTCATGATCGCGAATCTCTTACCAATTAGTACAATGCCTACACTCTATCGACTCTCGAAGTTTTCATGTTTTCGTTATACGAGTATATAACAATGCGAGAACTCGGGGAAATCTGCGCTTTTAGGTCACTTATATATATACATTACAACACTTTATTATCGTACAAGAGAAATTTTTTGTAGATCAAGTTTCTTTGTTAGTTATTTAGTTAAAATTAAATCTTACTAGGTAGTTTGCTTAAATGTAATGTGTAAGGCACAGTATTGTATACACGGAGTGCACATAATTTCAGCTTTTTTTTTATGTTTCTTACACATTGCTTTAATTTCATCGGTCGATTTTCATTTAATACTGTACATTACTTATGTTACAATAATTTTCTAGATGCAAGGTAAAATTATTCATGTGACACGCGGTGGAGAAAAAAACTGATGTGAAAGTATGTTGTGTGAAGGCATGATAGCAGATAGACGCGAATTCCATTATATCAAAATATGCTTGCTTGCGATTAACATAGTCATTCTAATCTATAATGCAGAATACATATTATTACATATCTCTTAATTAAGATTATTAAAACCGATTATAAGAATGTATAAATTGTAAACCGTAGAAGTATCGCATATACTTGTCCGTATTTTACGATTAAAGGGCTTATATCTAATTAATGGTATTAAATGTGATACAAAATATCTCTAATAAATTTATTTAAAAGATAAAAGTTTAACACAACGTAAATAATTATTTCAAAATTTATGATCTGTTATTCAATAACTTTAACAATCAAATATGAATGATTTAAGAATCAGATATTTATTAATTCGTGTGAATAGCGCTACTTTTCGACCTAATTAGCTTAATATGAAATTCTGTTCATATAATGCCTTATCCCTATGATTTTGTAGGTCAATGTATAATATATGGTACTTATAACACTTTTGATATATCATTTTCTTTTTTTTTACCTGTATATATTTTGGACACAATATCATGCGTCTTCTGTTATCGTTCCGCCCTTTTCTCGTATATTATACGATGTACATAAAATTCACATTCATTGTAATCCTTTTTACTTAATGACCCTGCAATTGCAGGTTTCCGTCCACCTGGTGTTTCCGGCCGGTCGACCGCCCGCCCTGAGCGCAATCAGTCGTACCCATCAGGGCGATTGCGCTGCCTCTGATCTCCAATGGCGGCAGGCCGAGACCGAGAGGCGGAAGAGGAGAATGACATATCCCATCAACGTCGCCCGGAATATGGCGAGAACGATGGCGAACACATCCCGCGTGCTTGTCTCGGATATCGAGCTGTTACCGAGCGCGCGGCTGGCTTCCGGCTTCATGGAGATGGTGCACCATAGGCCGCCCAAGCACGGTGTAGTCTTCGTTGTGCCTGTATTCGAAATAGAATCCAATGAACAGCCACCGGCAACGAAGCGCGAACTGCTCGCCGCCTGCAGTGCCGGCTTGGCGGTATATTTTCATAGGTATACATAGACATGTATATACGAGTATACGTATACAGGATTTATGTCTGTGGCACGTTTCGAATGTCCTAAATTTGAAATCGTTGACTCGCGTCAACTAAGTCAACTTTCTCTCGTGTCTCGTAAGAATTGAATAAAGTATTCATATTGAAATTGCAATGTACGTTCAATAACGGGACAAGACGCCTCTCGCAGGTTTGTCTGTCCACACTGCCAGCGATTTCCTGGGCTGACCAGGTGGTTGATTAGACCGGACCCGGGTAGGATCCGACCACTTATCGTTACCAAAAGGGAATATCCGCATCACAGATGGGAACCGCTCTTCATTGGCACACGCGATGACCCGCTCTACACAGAGGAAATGTCCTGGGAAGGCAAGCAAGACAAGATGGCCCAGGTATAAGGCAATTTCCTTTAGAGAATCATCTCTAATAATTGCAAAAGTTTACTCGCATTATTCTCTAATACACGTATCCAATGTAGATTAATTTATCTAATCTAAATTCGACTTAACTACTCTTCATCTTTTTTTAATTCTAAGAATTAGAAAAAATTAAGAATTAATTAAACCACGATTAAAATGAATCTATATTGAGATGAAAATGAGAATAAAAACATACAGCACAGATCATTCCAGTAATATTGCAGTAACATTGCAGCAATTAATATTATTGCAAGTTTTATGCTGTATGGGAAGTAGATTTACCTAAAGTGTAATAATTATTCATAACTTTTCACTATTAATATCTTACTTGCAAGATCCTATGTGTCTTTCAAGGTCTCTATTTCTTATTTCATATATAGATGTTCGAGATGTGTCTTTTGAATTACCGTCTGGTCGTGCTCGATGGTGCCTTTTTAGTGCATACTCCGGGAATCAAACGAAAAACACACAAAATCAATGCAGCCACACAGGAGTTCTTCCGGTCACATGAAAGGAGAAATGCGAGGATT